TGAATGTTAGTTCGAACTAACGTCCGTTAGTTCGAACTAACATTGTAGTGTAGACATACCCCTAATGACTTAACCAACCAAACAAACAATGGAGGTGCTAATTGTTCTTATCAGCTTCTTGTAATTATTTGAAACATCTACTCACTGTCTCTCTCTCTTTTCTCCCCGCCTTCTTTTTTTTCTTTTTTTTCCTCTTTCCACCTCCCTCCACCCTCTTCCCTTATTTATTCTTGGACCTGACCTTCTAATACTCCAGTCATCTGAAGAAGTGGGTTGCACCCACAAAAGCTCATGTACCATGTCGCAAGTGCGGTATGCCTACATTACCCCGCTAGTTCGAACCAGCGGGGTAGTGTAGACATACCCTCAGCTCCCCCTCTGAAGCCTTTAATCTATAGTAAGGGTTAGATCCACTCAGATCTAACACTAACATATGCTGACATCTTGTGGCAAGTCACTTCAGGGACACTGGTTAAGCTGAAAATGTGAATGTACACTCTGACTGTGTGACTAACTCCGGGGAGAGAAAGACAGGCAGGTCTCCTGGCCTCTATCTCAGCTGTGCGAGGGGAGTGGGATCAATCAGCTTACATTAGGAGGCAGATACTTCTGGGTTCTACGTAGTTACATCAGAACGGCCATATTGGGTGTCACGTTACTGGATTTTAAGGGGAGCAGCCAGATCACTGCCGAAAAAATGATACAAAGGGGGTCATGTAAGGTGTCAAATGAAAGCTTTCCTTCTACTGGTTCTGTATATGCTATCCATATACTTGTATAGTATCTGGGTATGGAATTATGAATATGTATTCTGTGTCAATACTGGAAACTTCTCTGTTTGTGGCTGAGCAAGAGACGATGAATGCTCGGCCTATAGACATGCTAATGAGCAAGTCTCCATGGAACAATAGCCCTCTATAGGCCAAGGACACACCTCAAGAATGGTGACTGATACCTAAAGGCTACCAGCAGGGAACACAGGGATAGGGCACGGGCCAGGTGACCTGCTGCAGCCAAGAAGAGATGGGAAAGGAGGTATATAGGGGCCATGTGGCCGACTCCATCTTCGTGCTCAGCTCAGCTCTTCATCCCAGAGGCAAGAGTGCAGGGATCGAGGAGCTGGAAAGAACTGTGGACCCATCCTGATGTAGGACGTACACCAAAGACTTTTAAGCCAGCAGTTATAACATCTCTTCTGCAAGCCTGCATCGAGAACTGGGAGATTCAATGCATGTAATGTATGATACTTTAACAACCT